ATATCCAGATTCAAGAAAGACTGTATGGCAAACATTTAAATCAGTGAAAAGACAGAATTTGAGTCCATCATAACAGAGTTCTACCTTTTGGGTAAAATTTATAAACTATTACTCAAATATGACACCGAGCCCGAACAAGCAAAACCTTATATGACAAAAGGGATGCAAAAATTTTAAGAGCAGTTTACAGTGGAACAATGAGAACAATTATGAATAAAGGAATAAAATTTACTGCAAGTAAAGCACTAAAACAAAATTGGTACAGTGGAACCTCGGGTTGCAGACATAACCCGTGACTGAGGCACGTCCACAACCCACAGCGTTCGCATTCTGAAGCGCCACGTCTGCAGAGGCGCCGGAGCAATTTGGCGCTTCTGCGCATGTGCGAGCGGCGAAACCCGGAAGTAACCCGTTCCGGTACTTCCAGGTTTCCCGCGGTCTGCAAACCAAAAACACATAACCTGAAGTGGCCGTAACATGAGGTATGACTGTACAAAAATGTTCTTTCAATGGTATGTAACTTTGAAAAATATACAGAAGATGAATAATGCAATGAATATACATTGCTGGAAATGTGATAGACCTTAAGGAATCTTCTTCCATTTATGGTGGACCTGTGAATAGACCAAAAAGTTTTGGAGGAAAGTTCATTTCGAAATGAAAAAATGTAAAAAAAAACACCTAAATTTGCATTGGACCCCCAAACTATGCTGTTGGGACTCCTATTGTGAAATCGTCAGTGGAACTATTTAGTTATATGACCACAGCAGTCAGATTGGTGTTGGCTAACATATGGAAATCTGACATATGTCCTAAAATAGATGCATGGAAAGAGAAACTATAAGAATATGCAGTAATGGCAAAACTCGCCAATTTAGTAAATAATTGAATCATCTTTATAATTTGTATACAACTTAACAGAACCGTAACAAAATGAACATTTGTATGGATTTGTATAATAGACCTTAGTTACAAAAATATTTCCTGTTTAAAAATAGAATCTTTGTGTGTATATGATAAAGAAAGCAATATATAGTAGAAGAAATCTTGTCTGTCTGATGTAGAAATGAAATCATATTTTAAAATAATTCTTGCTTTAGATTTTTATAATCATATATGGTATTTCTCCAATAGCAAACTACCTAGAATTGGAAATAATATTTAGTACACTAACCTTTGTTTAACTCTTGATAAATGTCAGCTTGCTGAGTTATTGCGTGGCGAGACCCCTCCCCCCAAGTGAAATTGAGACACTGGACACATTATTTAAGGTTAATGGGCATAAAAAGGCCACAACTTTATTGATTACAGGAATTGGAAGGTATTGGCCTTAGGCACTGGCTCCTATCGACTACCCGGCATGGGGACTGAGAAGGGTTATCCACCAGCCTTGGGAGTCCTGTTGAAGTACGCCAACTAGGATCCCACGGGTGTCACCGCTCGGGGGCATGCCGGAGGCCCTCACCTCCCTAGGTTTCGGACAAGGCAACGCCCCCCGGAGTCCTCTACCGGACTACCCTTTTCATTGGGGGAAGGTGATGGCGCTTCCTCCCCCCTCATTTGCATAACAATTAACCCCTGCCAATGCCTAACTGCCAATCGAGCAAAGCTCGCCGCCAATACCTTCAAACCTGTAACCAACTCCTAATCCCTGCTATGATATCCCCCAACCAAATGTCATTTCCAGCAGCTGACAGATGCACGCCATCCAATCTGTAGAGGGCCTCATTGCTGTACTGGATGCCGGGGTGGCCTATGACACACCTGCCCAGCGCCGCCACTCTACGTGCCACAGCCCGCTCCAAAACTTTTCTCGCTCTGTTGATTGCAACCGGGCTTAAGCTATCCCTCCATGTCCTCCTCTCAAGCAACGAGGACCACAAGATAGACATGTTTGGATAAACCGCGATCAAATCAGCAAGATCATCGAAAATGTTCCATCTCAAGTCTATAGCTTTGAGGTATGCAAGGTCATTCTCCCCCAGCTGGATAACCAAGGCATCTGGTGGGCCCTCAGAAGCGGCTCTCACCATCACGGCTGGCTTGAATTCGTTCCAGCGCATCCCTCTTCGCGCAGTCCAAGCCACCTCAACATTCAAAGGTAAGTTCAGGTTTTGCCCCAAACCGGTGCACATGGCTCGATTTTTTGCCCAATGTACAATGCTGTGGCCCACCAACCAGATGCGCACCCTCATGTGTTCTGGAAAAAGAAATAACAGAAAACCCCAGATCAGGAACCCGGCAGCTAGTCATAAGTTCTTTCTAACATAAGCTTTGTATGCATTAGATTTCCACCGCCCCAACTCCTTTATCCTCTCGGTTGAGAGCCCGAGGTGCACCGCGGTGGTGGCGGCTCCAATCCGGAAGGAGTGAGCCACAAACTCAGCCGCAGGCAGCCCGCATGCTGCCACTGCCATGCGCATCACACGAGTAAACTGGTGCCTGGACAGGAGCAATCCATCCGCATGAATCAAGAAAGGGCCGGGTCTGTTGGGTCTTAGATAAAGGAAACGCCTGGTATCCCTGACCGGGCAAGGTCCGCTCCCTTGTGCCGCTGGTAAGCGAAGGAGGGCCCCCTTACCCTGCTGGTCTGTCTTGGAGCTCCGCACCTGCACAATTAGGTCTGTACTAGAAAGGGTCAGGTCGCTTAGGAGGATGCCCCTTTGGCTGTGGGCCGTCCCCCCTTCGCACACTACCTCCCCTATGCATAGGGCACCAAAGAAGGCCATGGAATAAGCTGCCGAGAATAGGCGAGCTTTGTATTTTGACCAGCATATTGTCCTTAATTTCTTATGTATCTTTGTTAGAATGTTGAAAGTTATCGGTCTCCTCTTGTCAGTGCTAGGGGGCTGGAGCCTGCGCCAACCCTCTAAGGTTTTACGCACTACAAATTCAGCGTACGGATCCGTTGCAAAGAAGGCTTTACAAAAATATGAAATCCCCGCGGACTGGATGTTAAGAGTCTTTGGTGCCCTGCCCAGCTCCTTCAGGTGGGCTAAGTATCGGAGGACCTCCCTCGTTGAAGGAATTGCATCCTGCCTGGTGTTGGGTATGCTGTTACAAAACCTTAGGAAATCAGCCCATGCTTTCTTATAAGATCTCATTGTGGAAGGGGCAACTGCACCCAATATTCCATTCAACACTTCTCGCTCCCAAGACTCCAGAGATGCTCCGGGAAAGGCAGCGGTGACTGCTGTGCATCCGGCGCTAATGAGCGGAAACGCTCCATCTGAAAACGAGACAAAGCATCTGCGATGTCATTATTAACGCCAGGCACAAATTTGGCTGAAAAATATATATTCTGCTCAAGGCACAAGAGAACAAAGGAGCGTAACAAGTTTCCCACTCTGGTGGAACGCGCAGACTGTCTAGAAAGAACCGCTACTACTGCCTGATTATCTGTATTGAAACAAACCCTATGATTGCGAAAGTCAGCCGCCCATAAATGTACTGCCACTACAATAGGGAAAAATTCTAAGAATGTAAGGTCTTGAGTAATGGGCTTGCCCTGCCAGTCTGCAGGCCACCTTTGAGCGCACCACTGCCCCCTGAAATAAACACCAAAACCCAAAGAACCTGCCGCGTCTGATTGTACTTGCAAGTCAGCATTAAGTGCCATGGTATCTTGCCATAAGGAGATGTCGTTATACCTGTCAAGGAAATGAAGCTAGACTCCCAGATCAGCCTTAACTTCCTTGGAGAGGCATACCCTATGTTGGGGTGCCCTGAGGCCCGCTGATAATCGAGCCAGGCGGCCGCAAAAGGGCCAGCCTGGCACCACCACTCTACAAGCAAAATTTAGGTGCCCTAACAGAGATTGAATTTGCCTGAGGGTAACCTTCTTTAAGGGCAGGAGCTGCTGTATCAATGCCTTAAGGGCATTCAGTTTTTCCAGTGGAAGCCTGGACGTTTGGGCCACTGTGTCTAATTCAATGCTCAAATATACCAGGGAGGTGGCTGGGCCCTCCGTTTTGTCGGCAGCCAGTGGTACTCCGAGCTCCCCCGCTAGTGTTGTGAATGAAAGTCATCCAGGTAATGAGACACGCCCTGCGACCCTGTCCTGAATCGCAGGGCCCAATCAAGAAAGGTACTAAAGGACTTGAATGCTGAGCATGCGACGGAGCAGCCCATAGGCATTGCCTTATCGATGAACTACGCCCCCTCAAATCTAAACCCCAACCAACGGAAATCTGATGGATGCACAGGCAGGAGGCGGAATGCGGACTCGATGTCGCATTTCGCTAGGAACGCTCCTCACCCAAATCTGCGAATCATTTTGACTGCCTGGTCAAAAGAGGCGTATTTCACCGTGCACAGTTCCTGAGGTATTGCATCATTCATGGAGCCTCCCCTTGGGTAAGAGAGGTTGTGGATCATGCGAAATTCCCCCGGAGCTTTTTTCGGTACTATGCCCAGAGGGGATAAGTGAAGCCCCTCCAGAGGGGGCTCAGGAAAAGGGCCTGCAACCCTACCTGCCGTGATCTCCTTCTGTATCTTTTCCCTAACTATCTCAGGCCTTTCCCGCACGGACTTCTGATTTTGGGGGTCCCCGTTGTTGGGGGGAAATGCCACTGGGATTCTAAATCCCATGGAGAACCTGTCCCAAAGGTATTTTGCAGCTTTTCTATCGGGGTATTGGTCCGGTAGGGTTTTGAGGGGCTGAAGGCGGATAGGGGTGAAGGCAAGACCAAGATACAAGTTACTGGCGGTTACTGGGTCCCTGGTGGGAGGATACGGGGGCACCTCTGGCACTGTTGTGGAAGTACCCCCTGCCCCCCGAAAGGGCTGTTGCTTATTCTTAAAGCACGCAGAGGCGGGGTGGTTTCCCAGGCACCGCTCTCATTCGTGAAGATACTTACAGGAGGGTCGCGAAAACACACCCCTGTTGTACTCCCAGCACTGGTGGCGCCATTTTGCCTCCGTCTTACCCGACTTGGCAGATTCCTGGTTCTTCTTTTCGATGTAAGGGCCAACGTCCTCGCCCCAGTAATTTGGATCCCTTAGGTCCCACCGGGTGGAGGGCAGAGAGAAGCGTTTCTACGAAAGTTCTCATCATAGGTTAGTGCAGTGGTCTCCCCGGCCAGAGTGTGAGCCCGCCTTACGTGAGCCAAATAAGCAACCAGATCCATTGAACGTTTGGGATAAGCCACACAGATTACTCCCATGAAGACCTGGTACCCATCCAACCAGTTCTCAAAGGTGCGTTCGGCCCTAGGCGTCCTATACTTCCGCTTACCAAAAGACCGCTTCTTCTCCCCTTTTCCTGTTACCTTGGTAGGCGGGAGAAGAGTAAACATATCCACGTAATCGCCATTGAGGATCTTATTCCTCCTCCTCTGATTCCCTAATATAAAATCTGTAGACTGATTGGTGGAAATCTTTACATCTTCAACCAACGCCCCGTCCTTCCATTCTAGTGTTCCATTGAAGGTCTTACGGTGGGAATTGGCCCTTCTTTCATGCGCCCAAAGTGGGATCCCATGATTCTCCTCCCCAAAACCCCAGTAACCATCCATAGGCCCCTCGGTATCAGAATCAGAGGATGACATACCTGACTCATCCTAGAGCGCCGGTGGCGGAAAACTCACTCTGAATTGGAACGTCGAGCATTCACTCTGAATTGGACCGTCAATGTCGAGCCTACCATGTGGCGACAGCGACGACGAAGAAGACTTTCTTCACCGCCTCTATTGCATCTGCAGAAAATAGTAGCAGGAGACTCTTTCAGGTGGTTTGCAATTTAACGAAACCACCTTTACCACCGGGGCCTTGAAAAGACCCCAAGATCTCCTGCAATGATTTTGCAAATTTTTTTGCAGATAAAGTCGCTCATATTCGGAAGGAGGGTAGACACCACCGTGGGAGCAGGGCCGGGGCGGGAGAGTGCTAGAGCCCTGTCTGGTCAAGTTGCATGGAATCAATTTCAATCTGTTACCCCCAAGAATGTGGACAGGCTGCTTGGATGCGTGAAACCAACCACCTGTCTCCTTGATCCTTGCCCATCCTGGCTAATGAAAGCAAGCCGGGAAGGGCTGGGTGATGGGCTCTGTGGGGTGGTGAATGCTTCCCTCTGTGAGGGAGCATTCCCAGACCTGCTGAAAGAGGCGGTCATTGAACCTCTTCTTAAAAAAACATCTTTAGACCCGGCCTCTTTGGCCAACTATCACCCAGTCTCAAATCTTCCATTCTTGGGCAAGGTGATTGAGCGGGTGGTTGCTGAACAACTCCAGACATGCCTGGAGGATGCAGACCATTTGGATCCCTTCCAATCGGGATTCAGGTCTCATCATGGGACTGAAACTGCCTTGGTCGCGCTTGTTGATGATCTCTGGCGGGCTAGGGACAAAGGTGAGAGCTGTTTCCTAGTTCTGCTGGATCTCTCAGCAGCTTTTGATACAATTGATCATAACATCCTTCTGGACCGTCTAGAAGAGCTGGGAGCTGAGGGCACTGTTATTCAGTGGTTCCGCTCCTTCCTCCTGGGCTGTGTCCAGAAAGTGGTGGGGGGGGGATGAGTGTTCAGACTCCTGGGCCCTTACTTGTGGGGTGCCTTGGGGTTCCGTCCTTTTTAACATCTACATGAAGCTGCTGGGAGAGATCATCAGGGGGTTTGGGCTCGGTGTTCATCAATATGCGGATGATACCCAGCTCTACCTCTCTTTCAACTCAGAACCAGTGAAGGTGGTGAAGGTCCTGTGTGAGTGCTTGGAGGCAGTTGGAGGATGAATGGCAGCTAATGGATTGAGGTTGACTCCTGACAATATGGAAGTACTGTTCTTGGGGTACGGGGGGGGGTGGGCTGGTGTGAAGGACTCCCTGGTCCTGCATGGGGTAACTGTGCCCCTGAAGGACCAGGTGCGCAGCCTGGGAGTCATTTTGGACTCACAGCTGTCCATGGAGGCATCGGTCAATTCTGTATCCAGGGCAGCTGTCTACCAGCTCCATCTGGTACACAGGCTGAGACCCTACCTGCCCAGAGACTGTCTCACGAGAGTGGTGCATGCTCTAGTTATCTCCCGCTTGGACTACCGCAATGTGGGGCTACCTTTGAAGGTGACCCGGAAACTACAACTAATCCAGAATGCGGCAGCTGGTCTGGTGACTGGGAGTGGCCACCAAGACCATATAACACATGTCCTGAAAGACTTACATTGGCTCCCAGTACATTTCCGAGCACAATTCAAAGTGTTGGTACTGACCTTTAAAGCCCTAAACGGCCTCGACCCAGTAGACCTGAAGGAGCTTCTCCACCCCCATCGTTCTGCCCAGACACTGATGTCCAGCACCAAAGGCCTTCTGGTGGTTCCCTCACTGCGAGAAGCAAAGCGACAAGGAACCAGGCAGAGGGCCTTCTCGGTAGTGGCGCCCGCCCTGTGGAATGTCCTCCCATTAGATGACAAAGAGATAAACAACTACCTGACATTTAGAAGACATCTGAAGGCAGCCCTGTTTAGGGACGTTTTTAATGTGTGACTTTTTAATGTATTTTTATTTCATTTTTTTGGAAGCCGCCCAGAGTGGCTGGGGAAACCCAGCCAGATGGGCAGGGTACAAATGTATTGTTATTGTTATTGTTATTGTTATTGTTATCATCAGTACTTTGTAGGATTTGATAATCTTTATACATCTTTAAAATTTCTAATCTATCTATCTATCCCCTCCCCCTTTCCCCTTTCTGTACTTCCCTATCCTTATAAAATTGAAAATATATATATATTAAAAATTTACGGCTCCACAGTTTTCTGGGTCGCCCCATATTCATTACCCAACCACCTATGCTGCTCATGGCCAGATCACTTTGGGGCACTGCCATGCTGTAAAAAGATTCTCCTGAAGCACACATCCCCATGGATCCTTAGGTTTTTTATGTTTGGTCACCCTGAAATCACTATCAAATCACACATGATATATATGACCACAGAATGAACCACAAAAACCACAGAGCACAGCCAAGAAACAAAAACTATATTCAATACTTTAATCCTCATGGATCGTCATGATTGTTAAATGGACTCCACCAAATTATATTGTAAGATCACACCAATGTCCATGGAATGACCAAAATAAAAACTCTATGTGAAATGGTTCTGCATTAGCAAGAACATTGTATTAAAATGACTTTCATATTCATAGCTTCCACTGCGAAAAACTGCACCTGGAAATTTTTGACCCTGCTAAACTTCAAGAATATCCAAGGCAGAGATTGTGATGATCTTACCTGTGAATGTAAATTATCAAACCAACTAGATGGAGACCACCAAAGTAACCATGAAAAACAATCACCTGTCTTGCGTCAATTCAGCTACAAATGGTTTTGGGACAAAAGTTGGTTGCTTTGGGGGGGGGGGGGTAATTATAAACGGAGGTTTAACTGCAAGTTTTCTTGCCAACAGATTTTGTCAGTGCAAACTTTGAAATAGGGGGTCTCCAAAGTGGTGCCCATGGGCATCATGGTGCCTGCTGACAGCTTTCCTGGAGTCCACCATGTGTTTTTAGAAAAAGAACAGGATTAGTGGTGAATTGTGCCCAGCATGACTTCAGATTGTTCATAGTACGTTTGATTGGCTGCAGGGGCATACGAAGGGGCAGCGGGGTAGTGGTGCCCCGGGGTGCCACGCTGGGGGGAGGGTGACAGTACGGTCGCTGTACTGGCTGCCGCTTGTGCGGCGTCCATGTGGGCTGCCGCTCTTGCAGCAACTGTACAGGCAGCCCCTCTCGCAGCGACCGATATGGGAGGGGTGAAATCTCCTCATCCTCCCCCATTTCATCCGACCATTTCAAGAATCTTTAACATAACTGCAATTTACACACACACTCCAAAAGTTGTTCTCTGCTTACAACCTTGGTTAACATATGCAGGTATCTCTCTCCCCCTTTATCTAAGACACTTTAACACATCATTAAACAGTTACTACAATCACTCTGTGTCTATCAGGATAGAGTTAAATCACAAACCTCAATTTATAGTTCACACAAAATACACATTGTGATAAACCAAACGAATAAGCAGCTTCTAGAAAAATCTTCATACACATTTCTCTTTCTCACATGCAAATTAACATTGCTAGTTGGGCAGATTTGAACAAACCACTTTCAGTACTTAAACACACTTGCTCCTTCAATCCTGATCTGCTGGGAAGTTTTTGCCTCTGCACATGGGTCTGGGAATGTTCTGATCAGTTCACATTGAGTTCAGTACCCTGACCTGTTCTTAACGCATTGTTGACCACATCTACGGAACTCGATTGTTATGTTCTTTCATGTCATGCTATATCAATCATTAGTAATAGTTTAAGTCTTGATACTCAATCACTAGTTAATAGTTTAATAAGGAGGTTTCATGCCTGTCCAATTCTGTGTTCCCTTTCCCAACCTTTAATCTATTGATGATTAATACCTATATTCAACCTTTGCATTGTATTCATGTTAACCAATCAGCAACAAGCACATATGTGGTAATGCTGTAATATTCAATAAAAGGGACTCTCCGAGACTTGCTCGAGAGATGCCTCCCGTATGAGACCTTGCCATTCGTCTGTCGCTTATTTCAACCCAACACTGATCCTTTAAACATATTATACATGAACCACTTTAGGTCAGGTAAGGAAATAAATAAAGCGTTTTGTACTATTACTCTCAGCACACTTCATGCCAGGTTTAAAAACTCCACCAGAGTTGCCCGTGACCGCAGCCTTTGCAAACTCTTCAGAAAACCTTTTTGGTGGTACACCCTTGGTTGTTCTTTCGGATCTGCGCAAAACTCTCTGATCCTCTTGTTCTGGTGCTTCCTCCTCTTTGGGAGAGTGGGGAGCTAAAGTATATGAAGCTGCTAAGTCTGAGTCAGCGTCAGACTCTCCTGAGGCTTTTGGGCTCTGATAATCTGTGCCACCACCTGAATCTACATTGGCATCAGGATTATCATCAGCTGCAACAGCACCTGCCTCCCTCTTAAATGTCTTTGCCCCTTTTGCACCATCATCACAAATGGGATGGCACTGAAAAACGTCAACTCTGTCCCATTGTGGATTGTCATCTATACTCCTGGTCAGCCTGATGGTTTTCGTGTCTGTGATCAGGACACGATAAGACCCTTTCTCATATCCTAGGAAAACACCATGTTCTCCACGCTTGCTCAGTTTGTCACCCTGCGAGGTGTGCACCCAAACCTCCGACCCAAAAATTTTAAAATGCTTTACACATGGCTTTCTTTTGTGAAGCATCTCATATGGGGTGCAATTTACAGCAGACTGGTACCTCCTGTTATACACGTGACAGAAAAACGAAAGAGCTTCGGCCCAAAAGGGATTGGGCAGCCCCGAATTATATAACAGTGTTCTGATTCCTTGCTGCAGGGTCTGGTTTATTCTCTCACATAAACCATTCTGCCAGGGTGATCTGGGCGTGGCAGTCCTATGCTCAATGCCCTGTTCAGAAAGAAAAGCCTCAAACTCCTCTGAACAAAACTCACCTCCCCTGTCAGTGAAAAGACAACGTACGTTCTCATTATGTACATTTCTGAGCCATTTACAAAACTGGCGAAACTTAGTAA